TTATTTATTCAATTCAACTTTTAAAGTTTATAGTTGTTATAATCTAGACTTGTAGATCGCTTGGTGTGAATTATGACCTTTGGAAAACACGTACGTCCAGTTTTTTCCACATGTCAGAAATTCCAAAGCTGTGCCCTTAGAGGAAGATTCTGAAAAAAGAGAGGGCACTCGAGTTTGAAGGTTAAACAATACTTAACATTTTGTAGTGGAATAGACAGAGGTAAGATAAATTACTGGGTTAAATTCACACTAGATTTTTTTAGCGAGAGTGAAATGTGATCAGAGGCTCCAGATGAGGGAGTGCAGTAATAAAGAACAATAAGTTGTGATATTTACCATGGTGGAGTAAGTTCGAATGAAGGAAGGGTAGTCAGAGTTGGAATAAGGAAAGCCGTTTATGAGAATAGAATAACCAGAGCATCCAGCTCTGCCACAACGATGTTTTACTTGCACTATAAATTTGTTGTGTGATTTCACAGCGAAAACTGATCCCTAGATAAAGTGTCTTTTCTAGCGTGATAAGTGATAGACACTAAACATAAACAAAAGCAGGTTTTTTCACAGATTGAAATCATGAGTCAGTTGAAGCTAGACCACCATGGAAAACCTGGAAGCACTGGACGGCCGTTTCGTCCTAGATAGGACTCCTCAGCAGTGCGCATCCATGATCCCGCACCACGCGGGGCTCGAACCCGGAACCTACTAGCTTCACGCGCGAGCACTTAACCATTAGACCACTGAGCCGGCATCCAACGGTGTTAATGTCTAACTTCAACCAATCCACGAAGTTGCGCCACCATATACCATTGTCTTCAGTGAGCTGATATCTCACAACAGACCTGGTTGTACTCCACAGGTAACGGCTTCCCACTAGAACTCCAGGAGTATCTCTTGAAGTCAGTGACTAGTGAGCAGACGATTATTATTACGAATCTATGAAAATTTCTAAAAAATCTCCACAAACCTCTTCTGATAATAATCATCTGCTCACTAGTCACTGACTTCAAGAGATACTCCTGGAGTTCTAGTGGGAAGCCGTTACCTGTGGAGTACAACCAGGTCTGTTGTGAGATATCAGCTCACTGAAGACAATGGTATATGGTGGCGCAACTTCGTGGATTGGTTGAAGTTAGACATTAGCACCGTTGGATGCCGGCTCAGTGGTCTAATGGTTAAGTGCTCGCGCGTGAAGCCAGTAGGTCCTGGGTTCGAGCCCCGCGTGGTGCGGGATCATGGATGCGCACTGCTGAGGAGTCCTATCTAGGACGAAACGGCCGTCCAGTGCTTCCAGGTTTTCAATGGTGGTCTAGCTTCAACTGACTCATGATTTCAATCTGTGAAAATTTCTAAAAATCTCCACAAACCATTTCTGATAAAAGCAGGTTTGTATATCACTGTACCTAACGATAATAAAAAAATCTGAATTCAGCAGTTACAAATAGACTTTAACATCTATGGGTACAAAAAATACTCAAAGATATACTCAACGGTGGAGAATAAATACCAATACCCTAATTTTTTGTATCTGCGCTCGTAAAGTACAGATGATAAGCCTCTCTAGAAAAATAGCGGTACTCTTAAGGATTACTTCGACTGAATTAAATTCGATCAGTGCATAAACAGTGGTCTTGATATGTAATTTGACGATGAATACTATAAGATACACTCAGAGAATAAATGCCACTGTCCTTTATGAATAGCGTGTAGAACTTGTAAACATGCCAAAATAAGCCAACAGATTTCTTCAGTCTGTATAGGAAAGGACTGGAGATCAAGTGAATATTGTTATTCGCAACTAGTTTTTACGCTTATAATTAACTGATCGCATTGAACATATTATAAGGTGACCTGCTACTACATATTATCGTCAGGAGTGAACGAAAAGTTAGGTAGGTTTATCATCAAGAAGAATGAATGTAGATGTTGTCGTTGAGCGTTTCCAGATGCAATGTCGTGCGTCAGCATCAAAGTTTCCTCCCGAATTGTCATATCAACACTGAGTTGACAACTATATAGTAATAAAGCTAAACGCCGATGGCTCAATTTAATCTAATTTGAGTACTGTTAAAAACTGATGATGCAACACTCATCTTCACATCGCTTAACAGCTATACTTTTCTATAGATAGGTTGGAGATATATTTCTTTAATTATTAGAAACGGCACACTATGACCATAAACTATGTTCTTTTGTGTTGCATAATGCACACTCCCAAACAAAAGCCATTTTACGAAGATTTCCAGGAGGAATGCATATGGCATTTCATATGTATAAATAAAAAACTTTTATTCTGACAATGAATGTAATGCTAAAATTCATCGAAAAAATACAATGCAGATGTATCAGGTTTTATAACTACTGATGTTCTTCATTCACCAATATTAGAAAGAAGCTCATTTTGCAAAAGCTGGCACTATGTCAACCCTACACAGTCTATTCTAGCTCCAGGACAGACCAATACATTCATTCTTTTCAAGCCAAATTTTTACAACTTCACCTATTAATCCTGACTGCATTTTACGTGCGTTAATTGCTTGCCTCATTGATTGTGTCTGTAAATTACCTTCGCTTAACTATAAATATCGATTCACACTTGATCAAATTGACTTGACGTACGCCTCACTCCATTGCGCGTCACTTCTTTTGTCTCTCTGGCTCAACGATTTTAGGAAACATGCGTATTCAAAATACATCCTCGCGTTCGAGTGATTTCATTCCATTATTCAATGACGCAAGTCAGGGACTATATACGAGGATTGCTGCCGTCATCAAACAATTTAATTATAGTCAGATAAAGTGTCTCTTAAATTTCCAGTAGGGTTCTGATGTCCAGTAAACTCATTACACATTGATTTTAAGGCCGTCCGAATTTAACGGAACAGGTTCATTTATGAACAAGGAGAAGCGAACTAGGCCTGTCCGACACTTGTTATCGGTCTAAAAATGTGCATGCCCCACGGTTAACCTGTGTTCTTCATTAACGTCTGATCTCTGATCATTCACTAAGCACCATACAACACTCATACACTCCTAATGCAAGCCATGGATTTTCCTGAATATAGGTGTAAGAATTTATAAAAATTAAGAATCCTTTTCCAACCAGGTTTTTGTATGGTCGAGTTGAAATGGTAGTAGCCCTAACTACACAATCCTTGAAGCTGGACATGAGCCAACTAAAAATGTTTACATTCAACGTCTCACGATTAGGCATGAAGAAAGATGACCACGTGAAAACATGCCGTGAAGGCATGGTCAGTCTTGTTACTTACTTATGAGTGTTACACCTAATCGAGCATAGGCCACCGACCAGAATTCTCCAACCCATTCTGTCCTGGGCCTTCCATTCTAGTTCCATCCAATCTTTGTTTATTCTTCTTATGTCTGTCTCCATTTCTCGGCATGCCTTGTGACACAGTTAGATGCTTTCCTCAATGTGTCCTACCCATTTCTAGCGCCTTTTCCTGATTTCTTCCCCCACTGAAATCTGGTTTGTTCTCTCCCATAGTAAGTTTTTGCTAAGTGTCTGGCCAACGGATCTGAAGTATTTTGCGTAGACAACTGTTAATAAACACTTGTAACCTCTGAGTGATGGTTTTCGTAGTTACCCAAGTTTCCGCCCCAGTAGACAGTAGAACTGTGTTGACATTTGTATTGAAAATCCTGACATTGGTTGACAGTTGCCTCGAGTTCCAGATGTTCTTCAGCTGTAAATATACTGCTACTGCTTTGCTGAATTGCGCCCTTCACATCTGCATCAAGTCTACCGTGAACATCAACGATGCCGCCCAGATTTGTAGAGGCTCTTACATCCTTCAAAGCATCTCGGTCAAGAATGATCTTACTGGGGCATGTCGTGTTGTATCGGAGAATCTTGCTTTTCCCTTTGTGTATATTGAGATCCACTGCTGCTGCTACACTGGCCTTCTGCATTTTTTGTTGCGTATGTGATAGAAGAGCTAGGTCATCTGCGGTCTAGATCGTCCAGCTGTCCACTGTATCCTATGCTTCCCACAAATGTTGAAGTCTCAACAAGCACAAGCGATTAAGACCGTTGTAGACAGGGAGGCAGATGTACAGAATACAGAGACCGTCATTGCGGGAGCTCAACGATATTAGTGAGTCGTAACACCTAAAATGGGATCACCGCACCCACCCTTCAGATTGATATGTTCATTCAGTCAAGAGATGATCCTTAACATTAGGAATTTGGTCATCTCATAAACCATTTGGAGCAGTTTAAGAACTTCTTAACTGGATGACTTAATTGTTTGAGGGTGCCCAGTTTTCTGTTCGAAAAATTAACACGGGACACAAGGTATAAGATTATGACCTCATTAGCACACTAAGCTGAGCACCGAATTCATAGTACTTACTTTAATGGTAGTAATATATAAAAGAGGGTGTATAAGGATACAGCACAGAAAGAAAGATATAAAACAACTTTAGTCTCATAGTAGAGTGTACATACCCACGCCATTGAGCCGTCGCACAGAATTTCCAATCACTGGCTTTCAGTTGTTACGTAAAAGTCTGCATAGCGTTCAGTTCTCCTGAAAACTAACGTAAAATTACACCGGCCCAAAATGGTATATTACAAAATCCCGCCAGTTTCTGCTGCCTCGACGTAATCGTGGGGCTTGCCTATCGTGATGAATCAATCAAGCGATAATGGCTGGGACAATCGTTCCCTGAGGTCTTAGCATGCTAGACAGGTCGGTTGGAGAACGGTATGACTAAAGCAGCTTTCACGCTTTCGGACCGCAAAGACCACCTCTAAGCAAATTTCCTTTTCAAATACCTTGAGAAAAACCCTTCCACAATGTGGGCAACTAGGAAGTGATAACCGCCCTCATACCTCTAACGGCCATAATTAAAGGTCTCCGCTGACTGTCCGTTCCCGACAGATACATAATGAACTAATAACCTAACTTTTTATTTGAAACTTAGTTCGCCTTTTAATTTATAATTACCATTTAAAAGAAAGTGAACATGAGCCAGTGTGACTTAATAAAATGCATTTAATTTCACACTCAAAAAGATGAATGGTATTTCAGCCAATAAATGGAGAAAAAACTTTACAGGCTTTTCAGTTGGTCAAATATGAAACTACAAAACTTTGGTATATGCATAAACAGTAAAAATGGGAAAACTTATAACCACAACTTCACTGTCATTTATCTAATGGATTGTAGGAAAACTATCCAAAGTATGTAACAGAGGAAGCTGAGAATCTGATTAAATTATATAACTGATCGGATATCAGTGTAAAAGACTCTTTGGTTGTTTTGATTAAACCAAGTGAAAAAATAGTTTATAAAAGAGGAATGCACCAAACACGAACAGATACAGAAAAACAACTGTCATATAAAAATGTACATATCAAAATCGTATTTAAAAAAATAAGGTGAAATGTGAAAAGCTGTACGAATTCTCAAGTTTGAAAAATAAAGTAATGCCTATTAAAACCTTTTGGAGGTAGAATAGCGTTTGCTAAATCAAAAAAAGAATCTAGAGATTGTGTCGTTTTGTGTAGTTATCTACTGTCCAGAATTATCACGAGATGAACGATGGCTGAATTTAAAAAAATGAACTAAGCGTGTTCATCCATGGAATATTTTCTCAACAATAACACACGGAATTGAAAATAAGTAAATGCGGGACGATATATTCTTTGTGAAACGAACACACAAAATTCAAAACGCTGTGATACTCACATCTGCTGAACTTGAACACTGAACTGAGGCTGACTGAAAAAGATAGAAAATATTGGCGAGTTTCATACAAATATAGAGCTTAGCTGCCAAAGAGAAAACAAGAGTCTGATCTATTGTTTAGTTATCAAACGTTTTTCCTAGAAAGCACCAATACAACCACAAAAAAACTTCAGGAGTTCGCCCTTTTTTACTTTGCCGATGCAAAACATACTCTATGAAGGATCCTGGAACATTGATTATCTTTCATGGAATGAATGAGCAATGTTGAAGTCGTGATATGTTAAATCACAAACGACTGACGTGGTCAGAACTCGTTACGTATGAATGTCGACACCTACCTATATGAGGCGCTTTCTAGTGCGGAATTAAGAAGAAATCTAGGAACGACCGAACTAAGATGCAGGATCACTCCATGAAGTCATTAACTGTAAGTCTGAGTGATTTGGTAGATGCAGATTATTTAGTTGTGGTCCACATTATAATCGTGACCAGTGGTTGGAGACGAGGTGATTTCTAGGAATCAGTCACAATAGCACAGGTTCACTCATGCTTTATATCCTTGTAAAACTTGAGTCGCCATATTTCCCCACATATATCTTTCCACTCTGTCTTTTTAAACCATATTTCAAAGATCCAGTCTTCTTTTATATCACTGTTACTACATTATTTTGATCTGTTTTGTTATTCTTGTCTCGTCATCGTGTATGGTAACTCGAGCTGAGACGAATCTGTGTCAGGTTCTCTGTTGATTATCTACGTTAACCGTCACAATCAAGTTTTTTAAAAATAAAATTAGGATGAAACTTGATGGATGGAATACTGTTAGCACAAAGGTCTTAACTAGGATGGCACTGGATACCAGTTGGTTGTCAATGTAAATATTTCAACCGTGGAAAGAGTCAATTGCAGTCCTCATCGGCCAGTGGTGATGCCTGAAACTGACTTGAATATGGATCCCACGAGAATCAGTTCACTCGAGATCGCAGGTATGCTATGCTAATGATAGCTAATCATCAAAAAGCGTAGACACAGGGTCACGAACTGACTGACACTAGAATTCAAGAAATTATTTAGTTATTGCAAAATTGTAGGAACTTAACAACACACTATTGAATTTCGAAGTATTATGCTCACTAAGGGTATGGAAGGATATTCTAAACCGTACACAGAGTTAGATAAACTCAACACATTCTATCAATGAGATGTAGGTTGACACTGTTAAAAATCGGATTCATACGAACAGAAGTGTGAAAACTAATAAGATAAGAAATAAATAAAAAGAAAACGGGATGGAGACAATGATTTTTAAAAAAATAAATTTCACATTTATGACCTAAATGATGCATATAGACGAAAAATGTGATTTATTCTTAGCATGTTGACAAGAAAAGCAAGTACATTTAGTTTTTATACGAAACAACTAAAAAAACAGGAAAGAGGAAGCGCTAAACTATTCAAAAATCTTAGAAGAAATCACAGAGCATTATATGGGTAGTATTATAGCACAGAACAGGTAAAATATGGAGATTAGAAAATGATATAGTTAAACAAAGCCAAGAGAACTTACGTTACTGGGACAAGAAGGGGATCTACTTCCATCAGCTGGACCAGGAGTGCTCAATTCATGTTGTAATTCTTCACCTACACGGTACGGATGAGATTGAATCAGTAAGTATAAACATAAATAATTCATAAATTAATCATTTTTACCATAACTTTGGACTCACATTTCCTGTTGAACGGATATTACAGCTTTGACTGGCTTCTTTACCAGTTGCTTACAATAGTAAAATCAACATCAAGAATTTGTTTAGTCTAAGAATGTCAAGCTAACTTATTGAGATTTGAACACCTTAAAAAAACTGGACATGGAATTTCGGAGTATATAACACACAACAAAACTTAAGTCAAGTTCTCTTATTAAAACTATCATGATGTTGTCTCAAGAGTGATAATTCTAGACATGACAATCATCCTAACTAGATGAGGATAAGTAACTAGACATATAATACTTACGTACACAAGTATAGATAGCTATTATCATGCATACACGTTAACAAGTATGTAAGCAACAATGAAGCATTCTTATTTAATACCACTGATCACCATTGCAAGAAACGAGAATAAACTAAGGACTTATAATATTAAGTATGATCAATGATCTGCATTATTTTCCTCGCCGAAGCCTAAATTTGGTTATTACTCTTACTGACGACAGCAGTACGACGTGAAGATAAGTTACAAGAAAATTGAATTGACATAACAAACTGCTAAAAATGCAGTAAAATTTGTTTTATTTCTAATAACGTCATGTGTGAAATTCACCGACTTGGAATAGCATGAAAGAACAAATAAGGAGAATAAGCTAAACCCATGAATAAGAGTAAACTAAATGTTATGTATGGTACCATATAAAACACTTGAATGTTATTTATTGAAACATTTAAAAAACAAACGAAATATCATTATCACTAAAAAAATTCACAATAACTTACGTTTTCGCACCATGGAACTAGTTTTTATTACTTCGCTTGGAGATGGTGCATTAGCCAAACCATCTGGCATTGGCGGAGTATTTACTTCGCCTAAATTGTCAAGAATGGTTAAAGTACGATCGTTTGAATCTGATGAACATGGGGACAAAACTTCATCAGAATGTGAAACAGGGTTGGTCATTGGAGTAGTAGTTACAAATTCGTTAGATTTAATATGACAATTATTTCGAATATCCGATCGCTCTCGATTTACAAGCGTCATACACGGAGAACTATTATCAGAATTTGTTCCACGATCGTCACTATCTGGTGTATTATGAATCCTTGGAGTAAGTTCAGTAAAATGTTTCTGTCGTAGTTGAGCTTGAGCAGATTTATTAGCAGCTTCAGAGTAAAATGGTAAGAACTCTGTGGGTGAACTAGGAGGTATTTGTGGTCCTGGAGAAGTGCCTAACCTAGGCAAGTTGTCTCCATCATCTTCACTTTCCAGCTCCAGAGTAAACGGGGTAATTGGGGGACGAAACACTGTAGCAACATTTGTACGTTCAGAGGTAGAAACAGAAAGATTGGGGTTATAACTCTGACTTCTAGAATTTATTACATAATCAGATGGCTGCTGATCAAACAGATTAGTCTTAGATGATAATGGACCGGGAATCTAGAGAATAAAATAATCGGTCATACATTTTAAATTTATTTAAATAGTATGAAAAAGGAATAAAAAGAATGTAGTAGGTATTTAATGATTCTTCTCTCAAAGTCTGATCATTTTTTAAGTGTTTTATAAAATGGCAATCTTAAAATTGCAATCTTCGTTTTGAGACTCCTTACCAATATTAGGAAAAAGTAACATAAACTATGATGAACATCAGATAAAATCATTTACTGTATGTTTTACTTTTTATGTTAAAGTAAATATTTAACTATTTCAAGTTAAAATAGTTTGTAAGAAAGTTGTTAAACTAACAACACGCTACAAAGAACTTTATTTGAATAAATTTCACTTCTAACGCTAACTATTAATTGATGTATCTTTTCTCCACAATTTTGTAATTTTTACTTCCATCAGAGTAAAAACAATTTGGTTGAAGACAAAAGAGATAAAAGTGAGGGGATACCTGGTACCTGCATTTTATCGAAAGTGTGTTGATAATGAGCTGGATAAAGTAAAACTTTCAATTTTAATAACCATCAGACGTTGAGTGAAAATTACTGAGATGAAGACCTTCAAACGATCTTTATTTTTTTAAAAACTCACATTCCAAGACGAATTCGACGACCCGGTATTGTTTTGTACATGATGAGGTCTTAGAAGTCCATGTGATGGTGGTGCAGGGCTATGCATCTCAAGTCCTTCATACCGACCAGGATAATAAGGAGAAGGCATAGATGGTGATTGATCAAGAGTGTTTACGCTGTACTGCCGGGAAGTACCACATGATCCAGAATATCCTGTAGGGTTGGTTGGAATTTGAGGGGGATTAGATGAACTGCTTCCACTGCTTGCAGGTGAAGGAACAGCTAAGGCGTTATGAGTAATGACTGGTGCTGCTTGTTCAGAATACCGTTCATTACCTTCTGGAAAACTACCACCACTGAGTGGTGGACCATCTGTTGATAACGAATTAGAACTCGAACCAGAGGCTGTAGATAAATAACGAGCACGTTTATTGGGACTTTGACCGCCTAGGTGAAATCGTGGCTACAAGTAAATTGGGAAACAAAAGTTTAATAAACTCAAATAATAGTACTAGGAAGCGGAAAACAGTGATAGCTAAAGTTCACTTTAAATAATGGTATTTAAAGAACGTGATACATAATCATTTATGCTCTGGAGAACATACTTCCTCAGTGCAGAAACAAATAAACTGTACAAGGAGTATTGTGGGCGATTAATACAGTAGAAACCGGAATATTAGAATCGAAATAAACTGAATGATCAGGATTAATATTTGACAACATTACGCGTTACGAATTACGATGGAAAATATTTCAAAAGAATTTAGAGCTAAAAGTTAAAGCTGTAGGTATTTATATACATATGATGACAACTACATTCAATTGGACCATGTCGATAAGGAAGGACAGTAACAAAGTTTCAACAAACAGGAGAGACATATTATTCTCGAAGTACTTCAAGAAATTACGACAAGCAGCTGCTCAAAGCAGACACACAGGTGTAGTTAACATCATCAATTGTTTTGGGAATTCTGTTTATTCACAAAATTTAGAGCAGCACTGTAATCTTTACCTCTAACTTTAGTACGATTCCCGTGTACTAATCACTAGGTATAAATCAACTGGTTGCAATGCTACTTGGAAGTAAAGTTTAATATGAACACAAGGGTCAAAGTAGTAAGATAAGTAATCACCTCAAACTAAATATATTTAAGATTGTAAAACATACCGATGGTTCATATGCACCTGGGGCTTCTCCAGGATGTGGTAGGACAGTTCGCTTAAACCCTACTTGACTACAGTCCGTACTCGCTGCAGATAGATGCGACACTTGGGCATATGGGCTGCGTGCACCTACACCAGGAGGGAGTGGGGCAGGCGGTTGCTGGGATCTGGGGTATGGAGATGTAATTTGATGGGCTGGATACATTGAGCTATTTGTTATCGGAGAATGATAACCACCCAAGTTTGTATACGCGGAATCACATTGAGACTTTGGTGTGGATGGTTCCAAAATGCTTTAAATGAAACAAATATAACAGCTAGACGTATAAAATACTACTATAATCAGCACAATGATATACACAAATTAATATATATATATATATAAGAGCAAAAGGAGCTTCATATGATATTGATTGTAAAATTCTAAAACACATATGCGGAATGATAATCATACCTAGTATGTTTTTCGGTGTGGGCAATAGGAGGGGTAGATGTATTAGTGTTTGCAGTAATATGTCGTGAGTCAACGGATGGCGATATAGGACCGGGAATTGGACCAAGTGCTGAAGGGAAATTAGACCCCAAAACACATGAAGGAAAGTTTGACACACCAGACTGTTGTTTTTGATGTGCTGCAACAGCAGCTGCCGCAGCCAATGCCATTGCTGTAGATGGATGTGTTAACCCAGGTGTACCACTATGGGAATATGGATGATTGATCGAGTTATTTCGGAAGTTCTAAAAAAGAGAGGTTAGTAATTCAAATATATATATATATATATATGATGCGTCCAGACTGAGAATATATATCAATAAACTAAGGCAGGAAAGAAACTTTAGGAATGTCTATGAACTATGTAACGTATAAAGGTAGAATACCTGAGTAAAGCTGAATGGGTTATTAGACAATTGTTGATGGGAAGAGTGTAATGCAGACGGAGATGCCAGGACAGCAGCTGTATATGCACCAACCCCACTAGTTTGTGGCAAAGAAGTTTGTAGTTCATAGGGCTTGTAACAGTTACCACGTTGAGGAGTACTGCAATGAGGCATTTGCATAGCAGGGTTATCGCCAGAACCAATGAGAGATGGGACGGATGGTAATCCATGATTATTTAAATTATGATTGAGGTTAGGAATTGGAAGATTTAAATGTCTATTATCTGGTACAGTTGACCGAGAAACATTGGTAACTGGAGAGTCAACATTGTTTGTTGAAGGTGGATGAAAACCTATAAATGTAGAATGACTAATAATTGTCATGTCGACACAAAATTGTAAACAAATTATAGAGAAGCAATGTGGATAATTTTACTTTATAATAATTAGTTCGTAAAGCAGTACAATTATAACCAAAACAAAAAAGGTAATTGAATGAATAGTTTAATGAGTTTCCAAAAAAGAACTTGTGGTATATAGACTAACATAATCATTGCCAAAAATAATTTGAATTATTAGCAGTAAATAAATGAACATTCTTTCAATGATTGTGACATAACAAGATCAATCGATTAGGATGCTAGAATATAGAGGATCATTTCAATATAAACAAGAATAATAACCAAACGTAAAATCAAGGTGTTTAATGAACGATTAAAACATCGCATTTTGTTGATCACCGATATAAAATTATGACAATGAGAAAGGTTATGGGTAAACAAGTATAACTATTTTAAAAATCAAATGTAAAATTACTTTTCAGGATATCTCTTAAATTAAAGATTATGAAATCATATTAGTCGGCCATATCTACAGTAGAACATCACATATGTATGAGAATACCCACCATTTAATTAAAACATTGAATTAGTACTTAGCATGTAGCAAAAAATAAGAATTAAATACAACCCACCTAACAATTGACCTACAAATTGAATCATTTAGAAAACGTATTTAGGTTTGATAGTCGTATTTGAAATCTCGGTAATTAAAATATTGAAACTAGATAAACCTACTTTCATTTTTAGTACATTCCGATTTACAGGATGATAAATCACTTGTAGACGAATTCTGACGTTTGTTTTGTATTTTACCGAATGCTGATTTAACAGAGCCTGAATTATAAAAAAAATGAACTATTTAACAAGATGCAAACAGTCAGACTTTTGAAAATTGTTTAATAATATTATTTTAACTTGGTAAAATCTCTAAAGAACAAGAATAAATGACCGAACTTCATAAAAATCTCATTAGGAACTGATTAGTCGGGTATAGGGGCACTAATCTTTTTAGTGTGTAAAGACTTATGAAATTATCTAGATGTACAATTTGGAGGATAATAGATAATGCTATACACTGGTGAGCTAGATGCTGAAATTTAATGGTACTGAACATTGAATAACAGGTGTATTATAACTAAAGTTTACGACTTATTATAGCAAAACACTGAAAAATTCAGCTCAATACAAAACTATTGACCGGTGAAACAGGTGAACTGAATAGGAAAAATCACCATAGTGAATCAAGTGACATTAGAGGGAGAATAACAATTAGTTTATCTAACAAGTGAATTTATGATACCCTAACAATGCAAGAGAAAGAAAACTTATTTTTAAAAGTTGCGTACAACCATATATTCGTCGTCTTTTACAAACTGAATTGCCAATTACCAGTTGATATACCATCATCATGTGAACTAGTTACTTATGCAAAGAAAATGGTTCTTGCATATAAATTAGAATATTTAGACGTACCAGGTTATCAAATCGAGCGGATAGGTTACAAAACCGAAAAAAAGACTAGATACACTCAGCTATATGATTATCTATGTAAATCAGACAGGTGTGAACGCAATGTCGTGAGAAAAATAAACGAATAAATGTGACCTCTATGTTTAAAATTAAGTTACATGATTACAAAATAATTGATGAGATATATCATGAATGTGGGCCTTAAGTCGAAGCTATAAAGGTTAAAAATAGAATAACGAATGGCCAGGCAGAACATAGTAGAAACGAGCATCCGAGTTTACTATTTTCAGCCATCATAAGCCATGAACTGCTAGCTAAATGATGCCACTTCATATGCAGTACCTTAGTGGATTGAATATGTCAGACAGATTTCATACGACTGAAGGATGAGAGGGACTTTGTGTAGGTTTTCTGGTAGATGTAAATATGTTACAACAAATATATGATAAATTCATGGGTCCTCTGTTCGATAAGAATTTCAAAAAATTTGCGTTAATAAATAGATCAACGAACCTTTTTGGAGCATTTCAGCAAGGGCTGTAGAGGGTGGTGGTGAAAAGGAGCTCGGAGGATTAGCAGCATGAGCGATCAAAGCAAACGCATGTTTGGACCTAGAATTAACATAACGGTTAGCAACAAGATGTTGGGCGAGCTGAAATAGTGACTTGAATTGTATGCCAAAAACTTGGTGACCATATTCCAGGAGAATATGAGCCACGTCTGCGACGACGGAACCACGAATTCCTAAAACAGTTCGCACAGATGGATCATCAGCCCAACTGCTAATATCAGCATCAGATCCATTGGATTTTAAAAGACGAATTAGTGGACTATTTGATGACATATGCCTTTGAGACCCAGCTTCGAAGCTTCCACCAGAACTACTTCCAGGTGAACCAACAGACCTTCCAGATATGTTTTGAGAATTAATACCAAGAGCTTCATTGGTGAGATCAGGTAAGTAGGGTGGTTGAATTTCTGTCTTTTTACGCATTCCACCATAGCAGTATCTAAAATAACAAACATTAAAAAGCTGAATAGATATGTAAACTAAATGATGCAACTATTTGATTTAAACTACAATCAGGACAATTCGGTACAAAGGTTTCTAAAGCGTTATTTACCATTTAAGAGAAATGTTTTCAAATAATCAAAGATTTGAATAGAGCTTGCAGGGTATACAGATAAATTTAAACATATAGAGCAAAGGGAACGAGTATTTATTTTGAGAAATATTTACTTGATGTAATAGCTCCAACATTTAAATGTTTAATTTAGAAGGTATAAAGAGAAATTCGAATATACTTAATATAGATTATGAAAGTGATTTACATAAAGTGATTTGGAAATAAACGAAATATTAGTGGTTGAAATGAATTTTTAACTCATACATATTACTGGGTACGTTTACATGCAAGCATTTAATCAATTTAACTGGTGTGTATGGCAAGAATATTCAAATTACATTTAGCTTGAAATATGAACAAATAATAAGTTTCTTTACATGGTAGAAGTAATTACACCCAGACAGGTAACATCATCTGAAAACTGTGTAAAACTTTCTGAATCAGTTTGTATGAGCGACAGGCAAAACCAGACAACTAAAATGGAATAAACACCACTTAATACTTTGAGAGATTTAGTCTAAATAAGAATGACCCAACTTTATACGCGTGAGAGAAAAATGGATGAAATTCACAAGAACCAATAGAAACACAGTTCAGTTAGGGGGGTTAATGTTTATTCTCTTCAAATATATTTGTAATTGTTAACCTAGCTATCACTAAATGAATCAAACTATTCACTCTGTAGACAAAGCTAAACTAAACCACCCTGTAAATATTAAGGCCTGAAAATTACATAGATTAAAGGTTTCGAGTCGGTTAATCTCTACAGGACAACAAATTCTAAGGATGGGAATAATCAAGGGTCACGCAGGCTGGTAGACAAAATGCTATTGACTCACACGTACAGAAAACAAAGGCTGAAAGCAATACGGCTTGAAAATGTAAGAATTTTGAGGGATTATTGGTAGTAAGAGTTTTATTCATTAGAATTATATTAAAAATCAAATCGGTAGGAAATTATTTCAAAAGATTAGAACTTGACGAAGTTTGGGATTTTTACCAAACGTTGTAGCATTGGATTTAGTAGTGCCAATGGTAGCCAATGAATAGTTTCTGAGAGTGTTCAACAGTTATATAAATAGAATTTCCATAGTCAGTTTAGGCAAATAACCCACTACATGAAACTAAATGAGTGATTTAAATATACAATAGCTGAGAAATAACACATCTCTATCAATATAAAAACAAATGTGTCAAAAACTGAAAATTTTCATATTTACGACTGTTATAACGACTCGATATATTTAATAACATGCAGAAGTGAGTAAGCCCAAATAAGAACTCAGTGAACCACAGTCCGAAATTCAGACAAGATCTCAGATGAAAAAAGCACTGCTCTCCTGACTGTATACATGAAGTGGATAAAAATTACCTGGTAAAATTTTCCTGCGCTATACATTAAAAAAACAACTGTAGTAGCGTTACACTGATTTAAATATTCCATGAACTTCCTTTAGCTACTGATAGCCTAGGACAATGACATTGGTTTGCAAAACGGGTGTACATACTTAACCTATCTGTCTTGACTAGGGCAGATTAATTAAATATGATGAGGATATTAGTCATTTATAAAGCTATTTATAATAATTACTTCATTTAACTTAGAAGTCTCACTAACCCTGGTGGATTGGTGTCTGATGAAATCTCGGAAGAGATTCGGAAAGCTCAGTTGGCTTACACCAACTTGCGTCGCGTGTGGAGTAGGCGAAATGTCTGTCTACCAAACAACGATCGAGTGTACTGCCTAGTAGTAGCTCGCCCTGTTCTACTTTCTAGATGTGAAACATGATTATTAAAAATAGAGGATATTTTGTAGGTTACTAGTATTTGGTCACAAGTGTCTTCAAGCCACAAGTGAGGAATGTTTAAATTAAACTCAAGGTACTGAGCAAGCGTAACCGATTAGTTGTTAAAATTGTGGATATTTGTCATCTGAGATGGTTTAGACGTGTATTACGCATGTTAGCCTACCGGTTAGATTTAAGATACAGAATATGGATTTCTCGATGAGGCTGAACATTTACAAACTAGGATGTCTGAGGGTGGTAACTCGTTTGATCGTCTTACATATTAGGCTGGAATCAAAGTAGAGGGAGCCTTACCAATTATTATTAAACAAAATGGTTAGTCACTTATGATAAACGAGCAAATTTAAATTTTGATTGAGGTTACGAATCGATGAATTTTAGACCACCACTGAAAACATGGAAGCACTGGACGGCCGTTTCGTCCTGGTATGGGACTCCTTAGCCTCGAGGAGAGGGAAAATCAAAACATCAGCCTGTATCGACCCTGCAATATAAATGATTTGACGTAAGTAATTTGAAAATAATTTGCAATCTTCAAATTCTGAAAATTATATGCAGTTAAAACAAGGATAGTTTCATGAAAATCAACAATGAGTTAGAATTGTATAGAGTAAAGACAATTTTAACATTCCTCTATTGATCATTGTTCGGAAATGAGGAGATTTGGATCAGTGAGCTACCGTCGTATTCATTTGCAGAAAGGCCACTTCGTTTTGGGCGCCCGGGAAGCATTACAGCCCTCATACAAACCATATGATAATTGCTACTGGAAAAATCATTCTTGCTTCAACTTGCATCCAAGCAAATCCCACTCATAATCATTTGATAACATCCGTCTTTTATTTCTTTTATACTACACTTAAGTATTCTCCTTTATTCTCATTATGCGTGTTTTATTTTTCAACTTACACAGCAGCTCGTTCATGGTGGAAACCTTGTTCTATCTAAATGATCTCGAGTCACTGGTTAAAAGTCGAGTGCTGCCATCGACTACGAATACTGAGTCTTTCTGGAACAACGTACACCACTTAAACTGGCCTCCTTCAGCGTTCGTATAACTAATGCATATCGGACAACAGATAGGGTCGGCTATGTCTTTAGAAGGTCTTAATACTGAGGTCAGAGACCCGTATTCAAGACTATAGTGAAGTAACCCAAATTCGCTCTACATATGTCCCTTCGAAAGGCTTTTAAAGCGTAAGTTTGTCTGGGGATCGTGTGGCATTTTCGTCTGGTTTTGCAGTCGCACTAATCACTAGAGCTTAGCAGCACTGACCGATTGGATCCCCAACAACAGTTGGTTATGTGCAGTTAGATTAGAAAGTTCTAGAAAGTATAAAGAAATCGGTGTGAGAACCGACGTTTCTTCGTCACCTTCGATTATGCTCCGATAGATTACATCTAACTCATCTGAAAATACTTTTTGAGAAGCTAAACGAGTATGGGTTAGCAGTCAATCCTGACAAATGTGAGTTCGGAAAACAATCCCTCACCTTTTTAGGTCACGTACTTGATAAGTAAGGCATTAAACCAGTTCCTGAGGAAACACAAGCTACCAAAAATTATCCTTTGCCTGATTCATTCAAGAAACTACGACGTTTCCTTGGGATGATCAACTTTTACAGACGTTTTATCCCTAAATGTGCAGACTTAGCAAAACCACTAACTGATTTATTAAGGGGACGAGCTAAATCATTAGCAATGACACCGCAAGCAATTCAAGCATTTGATCAGTTGAAAAGCGCTTTAAGCATAGAGACATTACTCGCACGACGAAAGGTTGATGCACCTTTAGCACTAATGACCGACGCTTCTAACGTAGCAGTAGGTGCTGTACTTCAGCAACGTGTCAATGCACAATGGCAACCCCTTGCATTTTTCTCAAAAAAGCTAAACGCAACGCAAACAAAATATAGCACATTCGGTAGAGAACTGTTGGCTATCTACTTAGCCATCAAACACTTTCGCTACATGTTAGAAGGCAATTCTTTCACGATATATACTGATCACAAACCTCTAACTAAGTCCTTGATGCACAATCATGATAAATACAGTCCGCGCGAAATTCGTCAACTAGAATTCATTTCACAATTTACAGCTGATATACGCTATATTAAAGGCAATGCAAATGAGGCAGCAGATGCACTATCGAGATTAAATATCAATACTTTCTCGATCCCTGATATAGACTATCAAGAAATGGCAAAGCATCAAAAGCTCGATACGGAGCTACAAAAACTTTTGCAGTCTAAGGAAACGAAATTATTATTCCAAAACATCCCCATAAACAACAAGGACACCTTAACTTGTGATACCTCAACAGGTAAAAGTCGCCCTTTTGTACCTTACGGCATGAGACGAAATATTTTTGAGAAATTACACAATATATCTCATCCAGGTATAAAAGCCACTGTAAAGCTTGTCACAGATAGATTTGTATGGCCAAAAATAAACGAAGACGTACGAAAATGGTCACGGGAATGCGTCCAATGCCAAAAGTCAAAAGTATATAGGCACATCATATCTCCTAATGGAATTTTTCCAGCCGCTAGCGCTAGGTTCGACCATATTCATATCGACATTGTTGGACCGTTACCGATTTCTAATGGTTACACGCATATATTAACATGTATAGATAGATTTACGAGATGGCCCATAGCTGTTCCGTTAAAAGACACATCAGCATCAACAGTGGCGAAGAAGCTGGTGAAACACTGGATTACAAACTTCCGTGTCCCTAAAACAATTACGACCGACGCAATTCGAAAGCAAACTATTTCAGCAACTTACAGATACTTTCGGCATAAAGAGAATTAGAACCACTACTTATCATCCGTCTGCTAATGGAATGATAGAAAGATTCCATAGACAGTTAAAAGCCTCTTTGACGGCCGCACGAGGAGATTACAAATGGGATATCAAGCTTCCTTTGATACTATTAGGCATTCGCTCAACCATCAAACAAGACCTCGGTTGTTGTGCTGCTGAGTTGGTTTATGGAACAACATTACGTTTGCCTGGTGAATTTTTTGACCGTGCAACAGATATTCCAGCAGATATAACCAACTACGTACAACAATTAAAACAGCAGATGGAATCCATTAGGTCCGTTAAACCACGAACCCAAAAGGTGAAATCATTCGTAACCAATGAACTAGACAAATGCTCACATGTATTCGTCAGAAATGATAGAGTACGACAGCCGTTACAGACTCCTTACGACGGCCCTTTTAAAATCATCCGAAAGGACAATAAAACGGTTACAGTGGAAACAGCAGGTAAACATGATAGTGTTAGCATCGACAAAGTAAAACCAGCATTTTTAGAGAACACTGAAAAACAGACAACTGTAAAACCGTCTAAACCTGCAACAGAGCAAGCACCATTCAAACTACCTGCAACAAGCAACACTTCAAATCAAAGTTCAGCAGCAGCACAAACTACAACAAGATCAGGAAGAACAGTACATTGGCCAGATAGGTATGTAGCAACCACTATATTTATCTAGACCAAATCCTGAGACTACTCTTATGACACATAAAAATCCTACTTTATTTTGATTGCTATTTTTTTATTGGCCCCACGGATCATCATTATGCTTACATTTTAACTTGATACAATTCATTAATGTTAAATAAACACTTGTATATACATGATATGAAACGTCTCAACATACAAGCTGTTATTACAATTTAACGCCTACTCATCATATTGAGTTGTACTTTTATTTTAAAAACAGTTCCGTTCTTTATCTCTTTGTCAAACATAGATGTTAATCCAATTTATTTTTGGCACATAAAAACATCAATGTCCTGGATGGGAGCTTATGTGGCAAGCCCATCTGGCCACTGTATCATCTGTCTATTCATTGTAACTCAGACTCTTAATTCACTATGTTAATTTCAGTGTGTATGATCGAATGCATGTCTGTACATTAACTCTTAAGCTATCCTCCCCTATTGGTTTCAATGTGCAGATAATCGATAATTTATCCACACCCGATTAACTCGCAAAAATATATATGGGTTTTAAACAGACACACACTCACTCCCTCTGTTTGATCGTGTGCTTGCTCACCGTACGCTTGTGGATTTTTATTAATCATTAACAATAAACTATCTCTATAACTGGTGTTCAGGCTTCTCAATAATCTCGAGTAAATTCGCAATTCTATTAGGAGATTAAGCCTACCTAAAATACTCAGTTACGGGATATTATTTATTGGAGTCAGATATTGAGAACATTAGCCTCTACAAGTACCGAGATGCCTGGTGATCGGAGCGTGCCAATGAGTTGGAAGCAGAAGTTGCATCTGGTAACTGCCGGAAGCGCTTTCAACTCATCCGAGCCACTGGCAGTAAGAAGTCTGATGTGAGCGAAACAATCTGCGAAGACGATGGGATACCAATCGCTAACATCTATCGACGTCTTAAACGATAGGCAGAGTTTTTCGAGGAATTAGGAATTGAAGAGGGAGGTTGATTATGAATACAGTGGTCTTGAGTACTGTTAGAATTGAGGGCGGTTATCAATTCCCGGTTGCCCACACCGTGGAAAGATTCTTCTGGAGGTACCTGAGAAGGAAATTGGGTTAGAGATGGTCTTAGTGACCTGAGAGCGTGACTGCAGTGCCCAAGTGACAACTGTTTGAAGCCGGTCACACATGAGTGGTTTTCGTGTTAGCTCCGTACTTGTTGAGACCTTACTACCGGAGACGAACATCCGTGGGATAAGGCGAGGTGTGCATTTTTAGGATCGACCTTTTCTAACCCCAGCCCTCCATGTGGGAATGTAGCATTGCTGTTATGCTGGTTGTCTGAAGGAAACACCTTACTGCCGTCATACCTCGGTACAGTCATCAGTACGACTTCATTCTCGGACCTTGTGTTTGCTGCCTTCAGTCTTACCGTTCTTCACCCGACCTGTCTGGCATGGTAGGAGCTTGAGGAAAGACTGTTCCAGCCAGTATAGCTCAACTGATTCATTACGATAGGCAAGCCCGACTACCACGTCGAGGTAGCAACAACTGCTCCTCTTTTTTCGAGGAGCAGTTCAACTGGTTTGCTGCCCCGGCAACATCGATCAGACTGCCCTGCCCTCCATGGCCTGTGACGACTGATCAACCAAATGAGGCAGAAGTTCGCAAGGAACTCCAACTCCTGAAGCTCTAAAAATTACCGGGCTCAGATGACTTACTTCCGGCTCTTTTTGAAGATGGTGGAGACCTGGTTATGGAACTGATTGAGTTGCTTACAAAGGTTTAGGAGTTAGAGAGTGTCCCAACATCGTGGAATGAGTCCATACTTTTGGTACGTGGTTTGCACCTTACAAATGCAAAGTACTTTCACAAGAATGGCAGAATCATGATCCTGCGCTCACCATGGGTAGTGAACAGATAGAAGCAGTCGATAAGTTCGTGTATCTGGGTAGCTGCATAAGTGCTGGTTGTGGCATGGGTGATGAGATGGTCAGTGAAAGTCAGAACGGCTTATGCCAATCTGGACCATCTTTGGCGCCTTAGGAATGCTAGTTTGGCTGTAAAACTTCGGATCTACAACGCGTCGATGAGAGTAGTTTTGCTCTATACTTGTGAAGCTTGGCCTCCACCAGTTGTGGATGTTAGACGACTCTCTGTGTTTGATCAACGTTGTCTCCGAAGGATTGTTGACATTCATTGGCAACATCATGTTAGTAATGCAGAGGTTCGGCATCGTGTGTTCGAGCACAGAGACGACAATTCAATTTGCGTCCCTATCTTGAAACACCGACTTCGGTGGCTTGAACATATTCTACGAATGTCGTTAAAGAGAATTCCACATCGTGCATTGTTTGCGGACGCTGGAACTAGTTGGATAAAGCGGAGAGGCGGTCAGTGTATAAAATGATGTAATGGCATGAAAGAAAACTGTACAGGACTGACTTTTGTTGGACCTTCACGACTCCTTGGTTGGGGTCCTAGAGATGGGACAACACAGTGGTTAGAGATGTTATCAGATATGGCTCAGAACAGAAGCCAGTGGTGATCCTGCTGTAACTATTTCGCATCATAAAAAAGGAGGTAGCTTCTTTAACTGGAAGAAATCTCTCTGCTAATTGAACTGTCTCTCCCATTACTATTATTTCACTTTCATACACTAATTTCTGTTCTTTGTTGTTCCACTTTTACTTATACGTACCTTACATTCTTTATCTCTTCACACTCTCATTGTTATTGTGTGACACATATGTATTTGGTGCCCGCTCGTACCAATGTTTGTGTTCCAAATAATAAATAAGTACTAGGGAATATGTTTGAAATTCATCAGAACTAGGATTGTTTAATGAGATTGAGATTTTATGAGTAATAATTCACTGATATTGAAGAATTATAGATAACATATGAAATGGTCTAGACGTTTATGAAAATCAAATGAGAAACTGAAGACTCTACATATTAAAAAATGAAAAGCAGTGTTTCATAAACTAACTTTGTACGAATGGCATGCTGCTTTTATACGATTACGTTTTTTAAAGAGTAACCGACGAGGATAGTGAAAAAACGGACTTACCGAGACTGTCCTCGTTGACCCAAACGTCGTGGTTTTACATTTGGAAATGCACGTTTCATGACCTTTCCAAAATCTGCCGTATTTAGAGTTTTCATGTGGTGCTTCTCACAATATGCTCTAAAGGGAAAACATAAAGACAAAGTTTGCGCTCATATACGTATTCACAGACAATCTAATTTCTCCAAATAATGCGACGATGAAAAGTCACTATAAAATGTTATTAAAACCGGTAACCGACCTCGGCAGAAAAATTGGAAATATAAATTAGTATGCGACAAAATGTACGAGAGATTTGGACTGACTAACTTCATTATCCTGGGCGCATCCTACTGTTTCCCATGTTGTTACGTAAAAAGCGATAACTGAGTAAATAGATAAGTACGTGGATTTCCGAAATTATTTGTTACAATAAATGATTAACGTCATGATAAAGATGATTCCGAGTAACCTCACAGCAGACAAACTATATGATGTTTATTTCTGGCTCAATGAACTTCAATTGACATTTCTGTATCGAAATGGAGTTCTAGGTAAGCAAATTGTAATTCAGAATTTTTGTATCTCGATTGTTGGAATCCTGGTCAGTCAGTAACAACGTAGAACTTCGTATGTACGTATATCAGTCCGAGTTGCCATACCACATTAGCACACAGATACAATTGTCGATTCAAATCCCATAGTGGTAGAGGTAGTAAAAGTATAAGCGATAATCAGAAATATTAGCGCTGAAGATGTTATTCAAGGAGCATAAGACAGTGAAATAAATTTAAAAAGAGAAAAAAGAGACATGAAGTATTCAGAAGATTAAAATTTGGGAGAACACAAATAATGGATGCACTTGCGACATTGCAAACGATTATGAGCCATGTCATTCAAGGTCTCTAACCATCGGTTGCTATCGTCTCCTGGATCCCAAACAGGTAATCTACACCTACCAACATGGCTCAGTCCACTTGTCACTGACTTCATGGATTTGTACCATGTTTTGGTCAGGTTGGCCCTAGCTTTTTTCCAACCTACTCCTACACCATAAAGCATCGCACATCGGGGTAGTCGGTGGTTAGGCATACGTAACACGTATCCCAGCCACCGCAGCTGATGAAATTTCACTACTTCAATTGATTTGCCATCCTTACCTAGTACGTCTCCTAACAACTACATCACTTACTCGGTGGTCCCAGGATATACGAGCAATTCTTTGAAGATACCAGTGATCGAATACTAGTAACTTACGAATATCCTCTACTCATACCGGCCATGTTTCACTGCCATAAAGTAGGAAGGAACGAACTGCTGCGCAGTAAACACGTCCTTTGGTTGGTAGACGGATATCTCGCCTACGCCATAAACGACGGTCAGGTTGAATCCCGGTGACGGTGTGGCAGATGAAGGAACACCAATCTCGATTTTAATGACGGATTTCAGAATAAAGGCACGTATATTACAATATGGGACATTGCATGAAAACGTGTCCGCTCAAGATTCTTTATTGATGATAAATGAATGGTCTTATCTTCGAGTATAGACACATGAGCCGTCTGCAGTACGACAAATTCATAGACTGATGCCATATTTTAGTTTGACCATCCCCAGCTATCTATTTTACTTTTACATGAGCCAATATAGCGTGTGAAAGTAGGCTGACATTCGTAATACACGTCTAAACCATCTCAGATGACAAATATCCACAATTTTAACAACTAATCGGTTACGCTTGCTCAGTACCTTGAGTTTAATTTAAACATTCCTCACTTGTGGCTTGAAGACACTTGTGACCAAATACTAGTAACCTACAAAATATCCTCTATTTTTAATAATCATGTTTCACATCTAGAAAGTAGAACAGGGCGAGCTACTACTAGGCAGTACACTCGATCGTTGTTTGGTAGACAGACATTTCGCCTACTCCACACGCGACGCAAGTTGGTGTAAGCCAACTGAGCTTTCCGAATCTCTTCCGAGATTTCATCAGACGCCAATCCACCAGGGTTAGTGAGACTTCTAAGATAAATGAAATGGTCGATATGTTTTATTCACTAACATTAGTTTAGGAGTTGGTGCAAGCCATCCCTGACGTAGTGTTTTGCATTTAGGAGAGAAACATCACAAGCATGGCTGCATAATTGCGCAAAGCGATCAAGGGACTCAGAATTTATTGAGCATCACCAAACAGAATTGTATTATCTGGGTATTCTACGACAGTAAGTGAATCTCCTGGTACGAGGCTAATCTTATTTATTTATCTAAACACAAGCATTGGTACAAAGAGGCATCAAATAGATATGCGCCAAATAAACCATTCAATTTGTGTGAGGGCTGGGATACTGCCCGGGTGCTCAAACCAAAGCATGTGGTTTTCATAGGAGTCAGCCCGACCGTTTTCATAGGAGGCCACACTCGGAGCCTTCGACCTAAAGGTCTGATTCACAAGGGAGTGGAGCATCATAAGAAGATGCAGTCCCATGGTAGCCGATGACCAACGATCGGTTTGTACGTCATTTGTCCCCTCAGAGTACTGGAGCCCATGTGCACCATTGGTTTGGAATCACGGTTCTCCAACTCCCCTAGGTAGACCTCCATGTCCACCAACCTAGTTAAAGCGCCAGACATCCGCTTTTCGTCCTCTCAATTTCGTAAACAACACCCCCGCCACGAGAAGGCAGAGGCTATATACGCGTGGACATGTGAGGGAATTTCGACAGACGACTCTCCCCACTCCCAGCCGTAGCAGGGCATTTAAGGGCCGCCTGCTGTGTCACATTTAGATGTTACATTCGAACTGCTTTACTAGATGTCGTTGATTCATCAAATAATGTTGTAGACAAGATCGCTAGCACAATGGGACAAATGAATTCGGTTCGCGAACTGTTCCTCAAGACATGGAATTTTAGAAATTTACTGCCTAAAATATGACTTTGTGATTATTAGTTTTTTCAGCAAGTTTTGGCTTCACCAAAGCACAGTTTTCTTTTTTTATCAGTTACCTACAGTTTAATATGCCATAGTAGAGGAAATAAAAATGCCCGTCTGGGTCTAGAAATAACTTATTAATGAGCCGTATTTACAGAATCCACTCCTAAAAGAACACTTGGAAGACAACCAAGACAGAGTACAACACTCCAGTAGTTCAGATTGTTATAGCAAATGCGTCAGTTTGAGCATCAACAAACCGATGAACTATGTTCAACAAAAGCAACCAATGCACCTATAGTATAAAATCATTTACATTTTCGAAAGCGTGTATTAAGTTTGATGCACTATCACTGCAACTTCCTTAGTAGACTTGTTCGGTAGAAGACTGTAATCCCGAATTCCAGCTTTCTGTATAGAAGAGACTCATAGAGGATAATGATTTATTAATCGACTGTGATTACGTGAAGTCAGATATTCATAAGTGTAGAATTTAATGTGTGTATACAATCAACTAAGTACTTATCGCATAAAAGTTGGAGATGTCTGGTTTTGCATAACTCGATGTGTGCATAAGGACGAACCTCTTTGCTCCCTTAACTAGTTGTGCTCCGAACTACTTTGGAACGTTACCCAACTAGATGTCATGACTATCACAAGATCTCATCTTTACTAGCATGAACGAGACAAAGTAGGGAGAAATATTTATTATACCTATATTGCAGGTAGTGCCCCAGTTTATCAGAAAGTTTCTAATGGATATCATATTGGGAGTGAATATTTTGATTTTGTGGTCCTATCTTAATTTGAGGTTGTATTTGTACATTTTTAGTATGTCTTCAAGAATGTGGTGGAGTTCAGTAATATGACGTGTAAAAGACATTAAACTACCGGAAATGGGTTTTTTCCTACTAATTACCCCCGGTATTGACACAGACGACTTGATGCTTATAAACACAATCTAAGGATTGTCGTGAGAAATACGGAAAATGTTCAACATCTACAGGAATGTCACGAATTTACGGTACATAGCTTAAAATTTACACGGGATAATAGACTACGAGTAACCAGAGACTTTAGTTATTGGTCAATATTCTATATTTCGGTCATTAAACCTAATACATCTCGGTGGTTTTGAATGACCAAGTCCTTTTAGAAAGTATGATAAGTGCTATGAAAAACTGGTATCTATCACCAACTAAATTTGGGTATAACAGTTACGAAAATGATGGTACATTCCATAACTTTTCTAAACTATGAATGAAACATTTTGCGAATCGAAAAGTGCTGGCGAGATAACTAAAATAAACAATCCGAATAAAACACTTGGTACCACGTTACTTAAAAAGAAATGTCGGTATTTTATCATAATTGAGTCGGAAATTATATACCTAGAATTCAACCGTTTATAACATCTGAAGAGCATGGATCCTATGGACATGACAAGGCTATAAGCTAAACGCTGAAGGTACCTGTAGTCATCGTATACTTCATCTTTTCTTAAACAAGTTGATGGATCTTCTTCTAGATGAGACATAATCCACGTGTAGGCTTGACTTTGCTCTACTTGATTGGATAAGTGAAGCGAAGACTGTCCACCCGGTGAGAAAAGGCCAATACCCAGAGAATTGACGTCGTAACCAGAGGAAACTTCCAGTTCATCACCCGCAAAGCCAAAAGAAGTATTGCTGATACAATGAGAACCGTGAGTATTATCCACCGGGAGAAGTAGGCAAAAAAGAAGCTTTTCAACATCTTTCAAGGAGGCAACTTCCTGAATCAGTGTGTCGATCCTAGTGCGTGTATCCTGACTAGGAAGATAATAATATAACAAAAGAATAGCAACTTACGTTATAATGCCAGATAAGCTTGATTTCAAAAAATCATAGCCATTCTTGGCGCAATCCTCATCTTGATCTTCAGATTTCAGCATGAAAGTGATTCAGTGAGATATTTTCTTGATTTAGGCTCCTGTTAAATTGTTTTGTAGATCCTCAAAGACGGTGACAAGGTAATTAAAATGCATAATACGCCTCTACAGTAGGCGAAATTGAACAAAGAGCCTCAGTAAAGGTGAAAGGCAATAACATGCGATTAAACAAACACCACAGATAATTTTTCGCTCAGGGTTCAATGCTAATTGTGCAAAACTATATGTTTGTTTCACGCACAGTCACTGTTGTGAAATGCTTGTTTGACGTTATAAAACATCAAAAAAGTTATCCAAATCGACATATACTAAGTTTTGATCGACCACACTGTCACTGGTGTCGTTGCTCAATAAACTCCATCTCAGTCATCTAATCTCCTGCTTTGTAGATCACGGTTTATGATTAAAGGTTAAAATCGTATTATTACATCCTTTCAGGCCTTCAAGACCAGTGAAATGACATAGGACCCTATCCATATCATCCGTCAGTCGAGTAAATGAATAGCAAACGGTTTTCTGATCCTCGTCAAGGTAAAGGGTGATCAATGCGTGATAATAGATTGCACGCCATGGACTGGGCCATGCAGCATTGGTCGCAATCCGTTCCTTATACCCACTCATCAATATATTTTCGTGATAATGTCGTTTGTGTTGCATGGTCATCAATGCAACTATAGTACCTGGATATGACGAAAGGTTAATCAACGTTAAGCACTAACTATGAGTCGACTGGTCATACTATTCCTGTCTCACTCGAAAGGTGCCTAACCATGCGGCATAGATCACCTACGTTTGGTGACCTTAACTAAAATGATATTTGTAGGATTTGCTTGACAGACATCTTCACAACTGAGAAAGATTTGAGAAAAATGGTAGGCTATGCAAGAAGAAAAAACAAGCCATATCTCAAAAGCCGACTTGTTTGATTAAGCAGGGAATCAAGAGGTTGAATTTTATGGCTATAGTTATGATACCTACCAGACAGAAAAGTTCAAGAATATGGTATATGGGCCATTTCGGTGATGCTTTCAGGCCATGATTAGTGCTGTTTATTTAAAAATTCTGGTCCATTCTGTATGTGGTTTAGCTTCGTGCGTTGGTGTTCTGGTCAGTCTAATTTATTTGCTTATTTCACACATATATATGCAGATGTTTTTTTTGTGGTATAACAAAAGCCATAACATCTTACCGGGCACTGCATACAAAGAATTTGATTCTTACCAAACAATAATGGATAGATCTAATATTATTAGTCATAACCCTAGTTATGATATTTGAGGAACCAAAAAATCTGAACATTTTTTGGTGATGAGAAAGTAAAGGCCGAAAGTTATTTTGCAGATATCCTCCAAAGGCGCTGTAGAATTATAGTCTAGTTCGATATAAGTTCACTTATCTATGCTACTAAAGCAACAGATCTATTCCGCAACTGTAATTTATATTATCTACTTTGAAGTCACATCTTCTATACTGACTAGTCCTGAAGTGATAGTCAGTAATCTGATATTCAGCACCTTCGGAAAACACATTTGGTCTTGAGGTAGGATAACATGTTTAATGTGAAGAGGATTGAGTCATGCAAAGTGATCATGCCTACATGGTCAAGCCATGAGATTTCCATTTTGTTCCGACATTTATCATTTTTGGCCACCTGCGAGTGCTACATGGTGAATGTTTCGTGCCTTTAGGTAACCCTCGTGCTATTGATAGAAGAAACCAGAGAAGTAGTGAATAGGTCTTTATTTCGATCTTCGCGCAGTCACAGTGGAGCGTGGGATTATCTGTTCAGACAAACAAAGGCTCTCAACATTCAATATAAGATAATAGGGAACATAACGCTTATAAAAAATAAGGAATTGAATGAATACTTGAACAATACTGTTTTGGCATATGCTTGGTTGTTTGGGGTCAACTCTTAACCAACCAACCTGAGCTGTTACATTAGCTTCCCCCTAGAATCGACTTCCGTAGGAACGTCGGTTTGATTAACCTATCTATCGAAAACACCTTAGTTCTATTTCTCATCCCAAGGGAAAATTATCAACTCGCTCACTGTTTGACTTGTAATCAATGACGACTAACTCCGCCGGCAATCAACGATAGTCCATGGATGTCTCTTCATTTGCTAACCTATCATCTTATTTTGTAGCGTGTGATTTCTTCTGCAACTATCTCTGACAGTTTGCTACGTGCCCTCAAGAGAAAGAGTGTGAGAATGTGGAACAAGAATATCTGAGGAAGTGCCGCGAGCGGGCTACTCAACACCATGTTGGTGAGGTACGATTTTTCCATGCTCAGACCGGCTATCAGGTGTTTACTCACCTGCCTCTTGAGTCGCCCTCAAGTAAAAGGTAAAGAAGAATCTACTTCAAAGGTAATGGTGAAAATCAATCAAACCTGAAGAACTGCTCCACTGCCTGCATAAAATAATAAGATACAAAATGGAAATACATAAATGTAATTGATAATTGTTCGGTTCCATGTAAGTGCTTGGCCTCCAGAACGGACTGGTATTCTGGAAGGAAATAGACATAGTGTAGATATCTTGTGCACGAAAAACCATGAAAACAAAAAAATACTCTTTTGTAATGCATATATGTTTTCAGTTTGCAGGAGATTTGCTCGACTGCTTATATTGATTATTTGCATGCATTATTATGTAAAAGGGTGAACTTGCTAGAAGTTGGAGTCTTTGACAAAATCGATCAAATGCATGACCTTGAGCCTGTGATGACCGCCTCTTACAACTAGGAGCGTAACCTAGGGTGCATCAGAATACTCCACAAAACGGATAAGAATATACGGTTAAGAAGCAAAAAAATTGTGTAGAGTATGCGGATCAAGTACAGTTCTAAATAATTTAATGTTCAACATCAATGATCGTGCTTCTAGGAACCAAAACCACTACAGGCCCACTACATCACCTAATAGTAAGCCCCATATTTTACATGTCTTGACGACGAAAACAGTCACGCGCATTTTCTGTACTGTCTCTATACAAAAATGACGCCCTATCAAGTTCACTTTAGCACCAAGACATATTATTGACCTGTTGGGATTAGTGATATTGCAAACGGTAGGACTTATTATGATTACACTGCTCCTGATCATTCCGTACTGTGCAGGTCAGACATTTAATGATTCTAAGTATAAATATCGCGATTAATAATTTGGTACGAATGACTTCCTTAGCGTTCGAGGATGGTGGTATCCCTCTTAAAACAGAGGAACACAACGAAGTTTAGTTTCGAAATAGGTTCTAGCAAAATGTTGTGAGCGACTTTGGGCAGTTGTAATGGTATTGGTCCCCAAACACACGATCTTTGAAGCCTCATATAAGGTAACTGTGAAGACCTACATTAAACGTTGAACACTTGATTAAATTCATGTATGGTGGGAGCGAAAAGATTTAATTTAGACGGCATGGGTCGGCCTTTCAGGTGTGGTCTTTCTTCATCACCTCATATTTAATCATATTGAATATGTTACTCCACCCCCATCTTGGTTGTGTTCTTTAGAACCAGGTGGCTTTTAAGATAGGACGGGCCAGTATAGATGATGATGTGACTATCACTTCAGATGCAATAGATTACGAAGTCACGACATAGCAAATCTAAAAATTTTGATCAGGCTGTAGTGGCGTTGGGCCCTAACCACACAATCCTCAATGCTGAACACGGAACATCTGGGAAAATAGATATTCAACATTTAACACGGAGAAAAACCCAACGATGTAGAAGGCGGGAGGAATCAATTCAATTAATCCGAATGAATCGGGTGGCTTGGCTCAACCTTGCAAGAGTGGTCACTCTTGAGTGTTGCCATATATCTTTTATTCATATTAATTATATTTTCCTATCTCCAACATAAATGAGTTCTTCACCATTTATTGGTGATTGTTACGATGCAATGAGTTAGTGTAGACGATGGTGTGAATTCCACGTAAGATCTTAGAGATTAGGCAATTATATCATGACAAATCTACAATTTTTCGGATTAGGTCTATTATTCGAGCAGTACTTATAACGAAGCAGACCATAATTCTACACTGGTGAGCCCAAAGTGAATAAATATTCTAGTAGCATAGATAGGTACATTATTACCTATTATTGCCTTAATTATACATAGTTTCTCAAATAAGTCACTCCCATTTTTTGTGAGAAATACCCTGATACAATACAATTTGTTAGTTCCAGAATACAAAAACATGAACAAGTTAACATGTCAGGTGGAGTGATATCTGGGACCTCTTCTGATGTAGGAAATGTAATGACTTTGCATACACCCACGTTAATTTATTCTCACTCGAATAGATAATAATAATTTAGATACCCTTTTTATCCTCCTAATAACTCCACAATCTTCAATGATAATCGGAGCTTTCTATACATGCACATGTTTTGTACATGTCCTTGTTAATTTCGCCAGTTATATAGATGGTTCTTGTATGTGTCCATGTTGTGTGCATGTTTGTAATAAATTATCTTATCTGTCAGTTTAATGCATAACGTAAGACATAGTTATTCAAGGTGTTAGTTTGTGCGTTGATTTCATTCTTCAATTTTTAAGCTACTCTACTGATTCCTTTGTGCTTATATGAATGTTTGTGTTAAGCCTACAGTAGATGCAATTATGGTGGTTGACAACAAGTAATGGAATCAGAGTACAATAGTTATCCGTTCGAAATAAACTGAACTTGAGAAGAACAAAATCACACAAAAAATTAAAATGTTTTTTATTAATAAACAACTGTACCGGATGCAACACCAAACTAGTTTAGAATTAACAGTACCAAATATTTAATGTCTACAATAGTTTTAACTAGGTCCAATTCAACTAGAGATGTATATAACTCCTCGAATAAGTAATTCTGTAAGTCACCGACGTTTTTCCGACCTTATTAGTCTTACTGAGCACACCTCTGGCTGAAGATCAGCCAAGCATCCGCACCTAATCATTTTCGAGTACTGCGTGCTGCGTACCTTCTATGATAACTTGTAGAATTATCGTCTACTTCGTTGGTAGTACTGCTCTAATAATAGACTTAATTCTAAGATTGTAGATTTGTCGTGATGTAACTGCCTAATCTATAAGATCTTACGTGGAAGTCACATCATTGTCTACACGAAATAACTGCAT